GGGTCAATTGTGATGAGAAAAACAACTTTTTTTGTTGTTTCTGAGTTGCTGCTTAGGCATTTTACAGCATGATAAGCCCACTCACACCCAGAGTCTGAACATTAGATAAGACCTTGAGGTTTAGGATTCCCATGCTAAGTTCTTGCTTTGCTTTTCCCAGAGCACCTTTTAAAATAACCACTTAGGAGGTGCCTGGCTGGCTCAGTCGGTGGAGCATATGACTTTTGATCTTGGGGTTATGAGTTCGAGCCCCACGCTGGGTGTAGAGATTACTTAAAAATAAAAATCGTTAGGGGCGCCTCAGTGGCTCAGTCAGTTGGGCATCTAACTCTTGGTTTCGGCTCAGGTCATGATCTCAGGGTCATAAGATCGAGCTCCATGTCGGCTCCATGCTCAACAGGGAGTCTGCTTGAGATTCTCTCTCCCTCTCCCTCTGCCCCCCACGCTCACTCGCTTTGTCTCTCTAAAATAAATAAATATCTTTACATAAATAAATAAATATCTTTAAAATAGCCACTTAGGAGGTAAGTCCTCGAAAAGTTAGTAACCTTGACCTCAACCACTTCATAAGTAGTAGGTGCTTGCTACTTTGCTCTCTATCTCCTGCTCAACCATGACCTGGGATAGAGAACCACTCAGGTGCTACGGGAGCTACTTGCCAATCCCTATGGGGATGGCTTGTGCCCTCCCATTCCGTAGGTCATAATCTGCATATTCACACACCAGCTCTAGCTCCCCACCACAGTAGGGTAGGTCTGTGTGCAGGCCAACCAAAGTCAAAGGAGATGACTTTCGTCTTTCCTAGACCCTGTGCTACGCATAGTGTACCTCTTCCAACCCTTCCCAATAGGAAGAGAAAAGAATCCTAAGGGCGTAGGATGCAAAGCAAGTAATCTTTGACTAAAGGAAAGTTTCAGGAAAAGGTTTGAGGGGGAGAGAATATACCAACCTAAAATATGCTTCTTTGGCATAGGGATTATTTTAGGCTGATTATTTCTAAGAAACAGCAGACACAGGAGAAGTTCTGAAAATGGGAGTAGAAGTCCTTCTGTAAGACTCATTTACATTTTATAGGCAATCTCCACTTGTAAGGGTCTCTCTCTCTCTCTCTCTCTCTCTCTCTCTCTCTGTGTCAAGAAGACAATGATTCTAAATCCCTAAGAACTCTCATCAATGGAGAAGGCAGACTTACTTTACCATTGTTTACTGTGCTTTTCCTGACAGTCTCCCACAACTGTGTCCCCACCTCTCACCCCAACATCTTCTTTTGTCTTTAGCTGGAGATGTTATCTAAAATAGTGACTTGGGCCATTCTGGAGAGATACTCAGTTTTCCTGGGTCTTTCTCACATACACAGGAGATATACACGTTATAAAACTTCTGTTTGTTTTCCTCCTGTTAATCTGTCTTTTATTTGTTTTTATTTTGTTATGTTAATCACCATACATTACATCATTAGTTTTTGATGTAGTGTTCCATGATTCATTGTTTGCGTATAACACCCAGTGGTCCATTCAGTACGTGCTTAATCCGTCTTTTATTGCACGGTGTGGTTCAGCCAAGAATTTAGAAGGGTAGAGGGAAAATTATTTTTCCTCCCCTACAGGTTCATTAACTTTCTTAGAAACAGACCTCATAGGATTATCTCAGAATGGATGAATGAATGAGTGCATGAATAAATGAATAAATCTAAATTGTTTCTCCCTCTTTTTAAATGTATGGCCCATTTCATTAATATATTGCAGTAGTGGTTCAAAAATGCTTATGTTCAGTAATCATAAATTTCCCTTTTTGCTTGTAAAAATCTCTACACATATAAAAGACAAGTCTTGGTAACAAAGCAAAACTAAATTTTTCCATTTCATGTCCTGATACATCTACAAGGTAGTAAACTGACTTCCTAGCAAGTAAGAAAAAATTTACAATAATTCATCAGAAAATAAAACTATCTATGAAGAAACTTGAATTGGGGTAAGCACCAAAACTCAAGGAACATAACCATTTAGATCTGAGGTGACCACATGTCCCATCTGCTCTGGACCAGAATCTTGGTTTATGCCTATTATCCTAGCATGATTATTAAGCATGCTCACTGTCACTCTCAAAAATGGCAGTTTGGACAATAAGTTATACATCACCCTAATTGGAGACAAAAAGGTTTCTAGACAATCTTTGACAAAGAGAACTTTCCGGTTTTCAGAAACACTGGTATTACAGAGGTGCTCTGCACAATTGGTTTTTAAGCTCACAAATTTTGAAAGAGTTAATAACATTTTCACTTCCACAGTTGTAAAGTAATAAGGACTGATCAACACTGACTATTTATGAAATAAATACAAAGCCCTGCCTGGCAACCTATATCTGGGAACTCCCCTCTCCACCTCTACCCCCAATCTAAGGATCCATGGGAATGGCACAGTGATTCAGCATTTCTAAGGCATTCATTAAAATGTACATGAGTGCAATGAAATCAGGAGAGGAAAAAAGGTACCTAATACACAGATATTAAAATCAAAACTTCTTTTATAAAAGCAAAAATGATGAAATTCTATAGATCCTCTCTTACTGAAACATTTGTAAAGCAGCTAAACTGACAAGTATCTCTCATCACTATTATTAGGCAAGTCATCCTAAGATACAGCAGAAAACATATGGCATACTTTTTGTCAACTAGTTCAAGAGAGGCTTAAAAACAGAAATAAAAGGGAAATCACAGAACACAAAGGGAAATTTCAGGGCATCCACAATACAAGCCACTGTTTATACTTGTGTGGGGGCACCTTTTAGAATCTTGCTTATCTCATTTTTGTGTCTCCTGGAGGACAGACCATGTCTTGTTCATCCTTGTACCCCTTATCTCTTATCTCTGAATCTTTAGCCTACTCCTTTGCACAAGAGAAATGTGCAACAATTGTTGGTTCAATTAAACTCATTAGAAAAGGAGAAAAATGCTCTCAAATATAATTTCCGTGTAAGCATTTTTTCCTAGATAAAAGAAGAGCTTCCCCCCCCCACCCCCCAGCCCATGGAGGGTGGAAATGGAGAAGAATCATTTCAACTGCAAGTATGTGTTCCATAGTGAGAAATCTATATGAGTGGCAGGAGAAAGTTTAGCAAACCTTAGTATCATAAAAATTAAGATATAGAGTAGTCAAACCATGTCACCCCCAACAAAACCCAACATAACATTCGGCCAGAAGACAGGCATCAGCCATTGCCTCCAAAACTTGAGTTATAAAAATACTCCACTGAGATTTTTTTTTTTTTAAGTCTCAGCTCAGGAGGGCTTGAGCATTCTTTGAAATGGGCTTTAAGGCAGTTTTTGGTTTGGTTTCGTTTAGTTTTTTGTTCCTCCAGCACCCTATGCAAAGGCACTGGAGTTTGAGAACCTGCCATTCAACCATAGAAGATCTCTTTAATTAAGAAAGCCATAAAATGGGCCCCAATTCATTTATCAAGAGGGTCTTGGAGTCTTCTTCCTTAAAATCACCACCCACTCCTCCTATCAACAAGTCAAATGGGCAGACAGGATCCCGGAGTCAACCCATGAAGTTACATTGGAGCAGATGTCATAGGCAGGTACAGCCACTTCATAATACTGCTCCAATAATAGTCAATACAAAGGAAGCATTTTCTCAGAAACCTGACTTGTAAAAAAATAATAAAAATGAAATGCTCAGGCTTCTTGAAGTTCATATTAGCTGTTTTACAATCTTGGGAAAGACACCCAAAAGCCTTAAATTTCTAACTCCCCGTTTGTAAAATGGGAGTAAATACCATTACAACCTACCTATATTTTAGAAAACTAATAAAAACAATGATATAAATCACAGATATTTTTCTTAATTTCTAGATGTTAGACAGTTACTACTTTTCTCCATTGGACAGGTATAGTCCAGAGTAAAATACTTGACATACAGACTCTATTCTCCGCTCCTGATAGAGAACAGAGGCACTGATGACTAACCCATTGTGTAAATCTGCTTGGTGTCCAAAATATTACTAACTCAAATAAAGAACAGTAAGCAAGAAAAAAAGATCCTTCAAACTCTTTGAACATTAAGCCCCTTCATCTTCTGTTGAATGCCTTGTTAAAAATCAGTGGCACTTTGTGAACCAACTTGAAAGTAAAGCAACCACTCACAATGAATACAGATAAAGTCTTGAGAGACTATGCTGGCCCAAACTGGTCTCTACATTATAGAAACTGTTTATATTTGCCATAATCTTTTAAAATGTCAAATTGTTTGCCTATTGAAAACACATCAGGAAAAAAAGTATTATCTCCTAGTGATCAATTAAAGAAATTTAAAATTAAATTTAAACACTCAATTTCTTTCTTTTTTTTTTAAAGATTTTATTTATTTGACAGAGAGAGACACAGCGAGAGAGGGAACACAAGCAGGGGGAGTGGGAGAGGGAGAAGCAGGCTTCCCGCAGAGCAGGGAGCCCGATGCGGGGCTCGATCCCAAGACCCTGGGATCATGACCTGAGCCGAAGGCAGACGCTTAACGACAGAGCCACCCAGGCGCCCCTAAACACTCAATTTCTAAGTGAAGAACTGATAGGCAAACTGCAGACAAATAGGCTGTTACAGCTATCTTGTGTGTGCAGCCTGGAAGCAGTTTTCATCACGGGAAGTAGAACACTGCACCCTTATATAAAGCCTCACAGATATAAGTCAGGACTATAAACATACTCAACGCCTGTTCAGTGCCCAATGCGCCTGAAAGATACCTGGACCACATTCCAGCTACGAGTTTAAAAAGCCATAAGAAAATTCAAGTTCCACATTAGAGTCAGAGAGAAAAAAAACGCACAGCAATCCAATCTCAGGAGATCCCAGGTTTACTTCCTCCAGTTTCTCCCCTATCATAATATTAATTGATTTACTAATAAACTGCTGCAGTAAAATTTGTGACATCAGATTCTGGCAGAAAATCAAATCAAAGGAAAACTCTTCATGGCAGCTACTTTTGCATGCCCAGACCCATGCCTACCTTGTTATGTTTTTGCTGGTGTCTTGCCTTTGTGTCAAGAACATGATAAGGGCTTTCTGAGTCCTGGTTGATGTAATATATGAGTCTTGAAGGCAGCGTGAGTTCTTTCTGCATTGCATTGCTGTAACTGATTTTACTGCTGCTATTCCGTTGCAATGTGTTGTCTTCATTTGCCAGGACTCCCGAATTTTTTTCTGCAGTTTCATTCCAGTGCGGAGCTGGGGGGGAGAGGGAGTGCACAAAGATACACAAATACACACATATACCCTATAAACACATAAGTACTACGATGTGTTTTTCCATTAATTGCAAAAACAAAGTTTTCTATGTCTAAGCAGGTAAGAAGTAGAAACATAACATAATAATAAAAAAATATGTAAAATGTTATCCTTTGTTAAAGACTGCCCATTTAGGTACCATCATATGCCCTAAGTAATAAAAATAATAATGATAAATAAAAATAAAAAAAAGAAGAAGTAGAGACACAGCAAAGCAAGTTAACAAAACAGTGAAATGGCCTGGACAGTTTAACAGCCAATGAGCCTCATACAACAATGTACTATTTCTTCCTATTTGTGTTTTATATGTACATTTCTAACCAATCTCAAATCTATACTCCTGAGTATGGGGAGCGGGGATGGGACGCGGCATGGACTTGAAGGAAGACATTAAATGAACATGCTCAGAGGTTCTGTTCTGACCCTCACGTCCACCCCTGCTCTGGAGTCTACAGGAGCTCCATGGGACTCTGACTAGAAGTATCCCATCCGAGAGCTAAGAAGGCTCGCTCCTAAGATAACTTGAGTGCTGAATTCATGGATTCGGGTTGTTAATTGATTCATTAAACAAAACAGGCAATTCCTTTTGCTTTAAACTTTGAGATGAGCAAAACTCCTTTGCCATAGAGGGAAGCAGATGCTAGCTAGCCGCTCTCCAATTGCTTTCATTTTTCTGCCAAGGCCAGCTTTCTGCTTCCACTGATTTCCAATCACCCATGTATTGACTATCATATTATCTTAATTGTTCATTATGATGACGAGCATTTTGAGAATTACAAACCAAAGGTTTATACCTCCGAAGTTTCCCTCCCCCATCTTAATTCCAACAGCAGTGAATAAACCCAGTAGGCGATTTGAGGAAACAGCACATTACCCCTAATTATTATTACATCCTCCCGCATTCGCATTCAGGCTCTCCACCCAAGAAGCAACTTGCTCCCTCGCTGCATTTACCGGCCACTGGTTTCCCCTCCGCCAAGTTGCAGAGATCGCTGAGGGACCCCGCATCCACTAATTACCTTCCAGTGGAACGGACAGTAATTGGAATGGGTTTTTAGTGAATGCAACAGAAATGGACTTCAAAAAGTGAACTGGAATGAACGGGGGCTTGGGAAAAAGAGGTAGAGAGGCAGGCAGGGTGGCTGGGAAAGGCCGAGCCCGGGACGTGTCCGGAGCGCACGGACCCGCGTGCCCTTCGCTTTCCTCTGCAGGGCCCCGCGGGCAAGGCAATGCAAAGGGCACCGGGGCCATACCCACCGCTGGGTGCAGCAGCCCCCCAGGCGCGGGGCCAGGACGAGGTGGCGAGAGGAGGCAGCAGGAGAAGGACGAGGAGCAGGCGGCAGGGCGGCGCGCGGGCCAGGGTGCGGGCAGGTGCCGGGCCGGCGGGGCGGCCGTGGGGGCCGCCGGAGGCTCGGGGAAGGCTGTAGCCCGCGAGGGGCGGCCGCCGGAAGCTGCTGCCGGGCGGCTTCATGGCTCATAGCTCCCGGGCGCCGCTCGGTGTGGCCCGCGAGAACGCCGGGCTAGGCTGCGGGGAGGCTGCGGGCGGAGCCGATCACGCCGGCTCGGCGCGCATGGTGCGGCCGCGGGCAGGGGGTCCAGGCTCGCGGCTCGGGACTAGAGACTGGGCGGCGCCCCCTCCCCTGCTCGCCTCTCAGCCCCTCCCCGGCGGCCGCTGAAGAGTCCGGGGGTCCTAGTCGCTCCGCCAACTTGGAGCCTCCCCAGATGCTCCTCCCTCCCTGCGGCGGGCGCGGCCGCTCCAGCAACTGCGGGGGCTGCTGCTGGGGCTGAGGATGCTGAGACGGCGCGTGAGAGCGAGCGGCGCGGGGGCGCGCGGCGCGGGGGTGCGCCCCGCCCTCGAGAGCGCGCCTGAGCGCGCCTTCGGGCCCTGAGGCTGATGCTGATGCTGATACTGATGCTGTTGCAATTGCCTGGCACCGGACGCACTGCGCATGCTTTATCGTGGAGGAAAGGGGGGGGGGAAGCAGCAGAGTGATGCAGCATCCCAGGCAGCATCAGAGGTGACGGTGGCATCTTCAGAGGTGAGGGCAGGAGAGGGGGAAGGCTGGCAATCAGAGATTAGCCAGAGGGGAAGAAAGAAGCGTGAGGGGGTTTCCTGGCCAGAAACAAAGATGATCTGGAGGAAACACTCAAACCAGAAAAATCTACCTGCCTCTTCCACCACCCCAAATTTTACATACTCCCCCCCCCATTCCAACCCCCTCCTTCTCCGGGAGAAAGTAAGGCCAAGCATTTCCTTCCTAATCCTTTATTTCCTTTCTTCAAATAAATATAAAGGATTGCGGCCAGGGTGGTAAAAATAGCGCCGCTCCTCAGCTCACTCCTAGCTGGTGAAGCGAGGGCTGCGAGGCACGTTTGCTGGTTTGCAGGCTGGCGGGGGCTGGAGGGCGCGCTGAGCTGGGCGGCCTCGCAGAGAGTCAGACCTCCTGCGCAGGAATCCCCAGAGCTGGAGCGCTCCACCCCGCCCTCTGTCCCCTGTGCCTATGCCTAGGGGCTTTGTGGAAAGAAGAAACCGGAAGATGTTTACTCAAAAGTTCAGAAAACGTGACTGGGTGTATTTGGGAAGACTTAGAAATTCTGGAAGCAAGAAATACGGAGATTAGAAACAAAGTGTATGGCAGCTATTTGGGCAAATCCATCATTTGACAACCATGTGGGTGGGCATGCACTGGAGAGGACACATTTCAAATTTTGAGATCTAGTCCTGACTTCCGCAGAGAAAGGGGGAACTTTTACTCTTGCTGCTGTAAAAATAAATAAATAAATAAATAAGTAAATTGAGAGTCCCTGAGTTAGGTAGGTTAGCAGCCACTAACTCCTATGGTTGGTTTCAAATCAGGGCCTGTGGCATATTTCTGCCCCCAAATTCCCACAATGCAAGCATTCGTGTATTCATCCATCCAGTGACAGTGAGTAATAACAAAGTTGTCTTACTCCATTATTTGTATATAAAATGGAGATTATAACATCTACTATGCGGGATCCAGAATTCTACGAGTAACAGAAAAAATACGAGTATAAAGCACCATAGTGATGACAGGGCTTAGTGTTATTAGCCATATTCTCCACTCCAAAAGGGTCAGAACAAGTCTTCCCAAAATGTGCCACTTTGACATGTGGACTATTTTGGAAACCCTGTGGGCTCAAGAGAAAATTTTGCCCCTTCCTTAGTTACCTAGAAGAATTTAAATTGGGGGTCTTTCCCGGAATAAGATTTATTACCAGGGATAACTTTTTCTGAGTGACCCCCTGTACAGCAGTGCAAACATCTAATTACCAAATATCTGCTTTTATTTTTATTGCCTTGTGAATTGCCCTCCTCCCCTCTGAAGCCCCCAGCACCCATCCCATTCCTTAGCCCAGGAGAGCAGATATATCTCATTTTACCTTTCTGTCTTTAGAACTCTCATGTATGTGGAGTTCCTGTATGTATGAAATTTAATTTATTTTTCTCCTTTAATCTGTCTCATGTCAATTTAACTCTTATACCGGCCATAGGAACCTTTGAAGTACATGGGAAAATTTTTCCACCCCAACAACCCCCACTTAACAAAGAAGGAAGAGGGAGGGAGGTGGGACAGAGAGAGCAGAAGGGAGGGAGAAAGGCAGACACTTATACAGAGATCAAAGATCACAAAGTTGTTAGGGGATTAAACACTAATATTAGTTCTTCCTCTCTATGTCAGAGCTAGGATATTAACTATCACCCAATCAATGTAAACTTGTAATTGATGCTACTTCCCCCAAATGAAGGCAACAATAATGTTCCCTTTGGCTCAGTATTGTGTCCCTAGCACCTAGCATAGTGTTTGTGGCACATAGAAGGCTCTCAGAAAATACATCATGAATGAATAAACAAAAAGTATGTGGTGCACTATGGCAGGAGTCACACTGGTGCAGGCTGGTGAACACTCCCACCTCCCTGTAGTTCCTACTTGTAGGTCGGTGTTCTTGGGGGTGTCTCAAGACAAGCATGTCCTGGCTAGGTTCTCCCAACTTATATTTGATATAATGATATAATCTTGAAAAACGGCTTGGGAGAAAGGAGGTGTACCAGGAATGAGAAGAAAGAAGGAAATGAAAGGGGAAAGATGCTGAGATGTAGTTTTTTGAAAGGCCTCTCTTGCAATTGAGTGCATCTCAAAACCTATGCCAATAAATAAAGCTATGTGTCAACGAGAACCAACTGAACACCCACCAGTTTAAGCCCCATTCCATGCACTTGGGGAACAGCATGAGGACTCATTTCAGTTTCAAATAAGGAGCGGGAGTTTTTACAAAGCAGGATGTTGTCTTTTGCACTATCATCAAAAGACTGCATTTATTTGTAGAACTTTAATGTTTACAGACATGGCTGGAGGCAAGATAATGTATCAGCAAATGAGACTGTGAGTTAGAGAAGGAGTAAATCCCTCAGAAAAATTTACCAGAAGTTTGATCCTTAAACCATATATTTAAGGGAAGGTTAAAAACAGAATCAAATATTCGTTAAGTGGATAATGTGTTAGATTTAGTAATAGTCTCATTAGGTAGTTTGGAATATTTATGGTTATACAGTTTAGTTCCAAATATTTTCTATGCTGTCATGATATTAATAACTTTGTTAATCGCTACCTGCTGCTTTGCTCTATATTCGTGTTTGTGCATACCACGTTTCCACTGAACTGGGCTGCATCTTGGTCATCCCTGGTCCCCAGAGCCTATGATATAGTACCCAGAATGGAGTCCAAATTTGACCAATGTGTGTCGAGTAGAGGGCCAGTCATAGGCAAGAGAGAGAAGGATTCAGCAAGCTGGACTAGAATGTAGAAAGGAATGTACCAGAAGTTTGAGTGCTGTGATAGCTCTGGTTAGATATGTGTGCTGGATCCCACGGGCATCTGGGACCATTGGAGTGGCCTGGTCAACACGGCAGACATGATAAACTGTCGCAGTCACAGGTGAAGGCAAGAGGCCAGAAGGTCCATGGGAAGGAAATTACACCAGGGAATGTGGACCCCAAGTGAACACAAATAAGAGTGTGCGCGACCGGTGCCCAGAAAGATTAGCCATACTGCTCACAAACATGGTTGTGCTGGTCTGGTTCTGAAAGATACCAGAAGTCCTCTCTTGGCTACAGTCTGTTGCAGGGGCAGAACTGGACCCACTTTGTAACCAGTGAGAAAACTGGGCTTGGTCAGGAGCACGCAAAAGGTAGGGGTAGGGGGCACCTGAGTAGCTCAGTCGGTTAAGCATCTGCCTCCAGCTCAGTTCATGATCTCAGGGTCCTGATCAGCAGGGAGCCTGTTTCTCCCTCTCCCCCCTGCTCATGCTCTCTCTCGCTCTTGCTCTCTCTCAAATAGATAATAAAATATTTTTTTTTTTAAAAAAGGAAGGGGTAGAAAGATTTGGAAGGCATCTGACTCTAAGGGGCTGAGACTGGGGGAGAAGGCAGATAAACGGATCACAGAAAGAGGGCCTTAGAAGGCGAAAGCTGGAAAAAAAAAAAAAAAACAGGAGGGCAGTGTAACAGAACAGATTCACAAGAGCAAGTAGAATGGAATAATCATGTGGCCAAAAAGCCAAGGTCGAAGAAGGCACGCAGCAAACTGGTGGATGGCGCTGAGGCCGAGGGGCCGTCTGCCGAGTGAAGCAAGAGCACAAACACTGGCGGCGGTGGCACGGCTCCCATTTGGCAGAGCTGGCTGGGGGCAGATCCTGGGACAGATTCCGCTCTGGAAGGTTTCTCCTTCTCTTTTTAGAATGGCTGTGAACACTGACTTTACAAGTGGAAATGAATATCACCAAGGACAGAAGACAATGTGCTTCTCAGGGAAAGTGAAAAAAGAGTGAGATCTATTATTGGTGCTTTCCACATGGTTCAAGGGTCAGCAAACATTTTCTATAAAGTGCCAGATAGTAAATATTTTAGGTCTTGTGTGCCATATGGTCTCTGACGCATATTCTTTTTTTTTTTTACAACCCTTTTAAAAATGTAAAAAGCATGCAGCCTGTAGGCCCTCATTTGTCAACCTACCATTTTTAACTACATGTGTGTATAAATATCTATCTTAAGCTTAACATTTTTCATCAACTGCATTATCTCGTCTGCTTGTGAGCAGAAAAGCATGTGCAATAATAGACATGGTTCTAACTCCCAAAAAGCCACCTCTTTGCTGAAATTTAGCTATTCATCTCATTAACAATGCCTTTGTTTAATTCTTAATACACACGCATCCCTTGAAGGGATTCCTAAGGAGAGAAGCATTCCTCTATTTAGAGATAATTCCCAGACTTAGACAATGGAGGGGAATACCAGAAATCATCCCGTCCCCCCCCCCCCGGCCAAAAAAATACAGATACCGAAAGATCCCAAACTGTTCTCTTGTTTTGCCAAGATATATTTTCCAGTGAGCAAGGAAATGCTGAATATATGCTACAGTCATGACAGGTCAAGGGACAGAGTCACACGCG